ATACTTCCCGTTCCACAACAGGCTTCGCGGTATTTTTGGGACCTAATCTTGTATCGTGGAAATCAAAGAAACAGCCCACCATTTCCAAGTCCTCTACCGAAGCTGAGTATAAAGTTGTTGCCTACACCATCCAGGACACTCTGCATATCCCATCAATTTTATTTGAGCTTGGGTTTGCAGTCACAGCTCATGTCCAACTATTTTGTGACAACATCTCCGCTTCCTACTTGACTTCTAATCCTGTTCAGCATGCTCGCAGCAAGCATATTCAGATTGTTTATCATTTTGTTCGAGAACGAGTGGTTCGTGGAGATCTGATTGTCAAGTACATTCCCACACAGTTACAGTTGGCTGACATTTTTACTAAAAGTCTCTCCAGTCAGCAGTTTCATTTTTTGAAAGATAACATGTGCGTTGTTTCTCCCGCACAGTTTGAGTGAGTGTAATAGAATATATATTTTAGAATATTTGTTTCCTAAAATATATTTAGACAATATTTGTTTCCTTGTGTAATCAGAACTCTTCTACTATTAATACACATGTCAGGACTCCTATTGGAGTACCTTTTCCCGTGTATTCACAGATTGTGTAGGATTGGGCATCACTTGCTAGGGTGTCCTCTCTATTAGCTAAATTAGTGAATATGAATATGGGATTTTGTTTTTTGCAAAAACAACTTGGAGTCTGTGGAGCACATGTTCTTTAATTTAATTGCCCTGTTATTGGGCATGTTTGGAAAGGTATAAGGGAGTGGTTAAGTTAATTGCCCTAGGGTGCTCGGATAGTTAGTAAGACAGTTAGGTTGGCTCTAGACCGTCTAATGAATTTGAAGACCCCGATTTCAAATGCAAAATTGAGGCTCCATATATGAATAATATAAAATCACATATAATAATAAACTCAAAAGGGAAAATTGTCAAATAGGTTTTCGAACTTTCATAAATAGGTCCATTAAGTCCTTCTATCGGAGGTTGTGTCCGGCCGTCGCGATTTGGGTCGGTTCCCGATGGAATTTTTTGATGAAATTTTTTGAGAATCTTACTCATCAGGTCTAGTTTACTCATACCAAATTTCAGCTAAAAATTCAATCGAAAACACATTCAAATGAATTCGTGAAGATAACTGCGCATTTTTGCGTTCTCGAATTAATTTGAATATGTTCCCAATTGAATTTTTAGCTGAAATTTGGAATGAGTAAACTAGACTTGATGAATAAGATGCTCAAAAAATTCATCAAAAAATTCCACCGGAGACCGCCCCAAATCGCGACGGCCGGACAGAGTCTCCTATAGAAGGACTTAATTGACTTTTTTATGAAAGTTCGAGGGCCTATTTGACAGTTTTACCTAAACAAAATTAATTATGTTTACGTGTTCATATAGAAAAAAGACATGATTTAAAATTACTACATATTAATATTATATGAAGTATTATTATACTATGTATAATCTAACTATATTATAATATGGATATGAAATTTGGGGGGGGGGGGGGGGGGGGGGGGGCAGATGACCTTTTGAACTTGCCAAAAAACAATCTTGTTATGGTGCAAAGTCTTAGACTAGTAGAACAAATCAGGCGTACAATTAGATTTAGACTTTACTCTTGTATTTTGGTACTCCGTTGTCTGGTTTTTGGTTTGATGTCTTTGGTGCACTAGAGCAACACTTTTTCTTGTGATACTAATCATGTGCTATATGGGGAATGCCTCTTATAAGGCTTTGAAGTGTGAGTGTACCACATCCACATTTATGAGCCCGTTTGGTAACCATGCTTTTCGGCTTATCAGGCAACCATTTGATTTCAGACTTTGAATTGTGCAATAATAAGAAAAGTAAGGTTGGAGTTACTTTTCTGGCTGTATTGGTTCAAGTTACGATAGATGATCATTTTAGCTATTTATTCATATGATTTTTTCTATATTTAATTAAAAATATATTTTTTAAATATAATTTTTATATAAATATTTATCAGAATCAGCCAATGCGGTCACTTCAGTCAGAACTTCATAAATTTCAGTAAAATCTGTCCATTCAGTCGATTTTGGTATTATAAACGGGCTCTAAATATGGCAATGAATTCAAACGTGCCTCGAAGATAAGGATTGCCACCTTCCGATTATTCCTTCATTTGACGCATCTCTTGCTAATCAAAGGTATTCTTTAAATTGTTTTATTCACATTTTTATTTTTATTTTATTCTCCTTCATTATGTTTTGTTTTGTTAATGTGCCCCCAAGTTTTCCGACCTGGTTCCGCCACAAATAATGTGTAGTCATTGAAGCAGGGGAGGAGCCAGGGGGCATGGTGGTCAGCCGATCCCTCGAAAAGTTTGAGAGTATAGAGCTTTGAAATACCTTCGATTTGATATATTATAAACCTCTTAACTCATTATGAGCAAAAAATTGTGACTTCTGGAAAATTGCCGCTATCTAATAAATTTAAAATGAGCAAAATTTGATGTGTAATAATCTCAAATTCTAAAAATAATGTACGGTTTACTCATTAAGTGACACAACTCAAGAACATAGCAAAGACAATCTATCTTACTGCTATTAATACCTATTCAGTAGCTGATTCTTTTCTGATAAGAAATCTTGACAGTGTATTAAATAGAGTGAGAGGGAAACTACATAGTTCTTGGGTAAGACAAAGGTCTCATCCATGGAAGACATGTGCAAAGCCTTCGGATAAAGCATGTTTATAATATATATATATATATATATATATATATATATATATATATATATATATATATATATATATTTAGGATCATGTGAGAATATAATCTTAGGAGAGTAAAAAAGAATAAATAACAGCCCTTAGATCTGATTTTTTATTTACATTTTTAATATTTTCGTCCAAGGTTTTAATGGTCTTTTTGGCTTCTTTCCACTCATGCTCCTAATCTTTCGCCACCTAATCCGTTCAATTGATTGCAGCGGACCACCTATTCCTAAAAATCTCTTCAACCATTCTTCATCTCTTTTTCCTTCAACACTTCTTCCTTCAATTCATCTCTTATTCTTCATCTTCTCTGTAAAAACCCTCATCCTCTCATTTTTTTTGTTTTCTTTCATGGATGAAGAGTGTGTTGTTCTTCGTCAAATCACAGACGTTTGATCCATCTTTTTCTTTCGTCCATGGAGAGTGTGGGTTTCTCCTTCAAATCACCGGCATTCCTTTCATCTCCTTTTACAGTCCGATTTCATGCACCATATGAACCGCAATAAGCCTGATTTGTTTACCATATTTCTTAATTTGGTTTCTCACATTTGATTAAATTAACATCTTTATTTCAATATTCATGAATATGTATATCATTCAATCTCTTTTTCTCAATAGGTATATTAATTTTATTTCAGACCATTTTCATTTTTTATTTTGGTGTTTCTATTCAATATGTTTAATCATGTAATTTCTATAGATTTTAATTCGTAATTCCTCTCGCTCTATTACTTCAACTTTGAGTAGTTATGTTGTTTGTTCTGTTTTTTGGCTAATTCTATCACCCATTAGTGCACAACAACAAATTACTTCATGCATTGTCATGTTATTAGTATGCACTAGGGGAAAAATTAACCTTAGACACTAACAACTGTATGATGCATTAACACATATTATTCAATGCACTATCAGGTTCCCAAATTTTCACCAAATACAAATTTTGAGATTTGCACTCATATAATTGTATTTTGCATTTTTCTATGGTTATCATTTGACATGTTAGTGCCACTTAAGTGACATATGATTGCACTAACTCGGACTAACAAATGCACTATAATGTAAATTTTTAGCTATATGGTTATGTAACAATTATAATTTTGTTTGTTTATCATGCATATGATATCCATGGAAAATATGGAATGGAGGATGCAAGTCTACTAGAGATGCTATATGTGTACCACCAAAATGAAACAGGTGCACTGTATTTTGCTCATCACAGGCTTTGCTCGTTCTCAACTTTCATGACTCGATGTTCATGTTAGGCTTCTTTCCCCTATGGGGTTCAGTGAATAATGACTATTCATTTCTTTTTGTTGTTATTTCATTTATGTAAATTTCTCATCGGTTTGAATATCTTATTGTGCACTTATATATGTTTATTGATGCATATGCAACATGTAATTTATGCACTATTTCTGCATTTGCAAGTTTGTTGACTATTTTTAATTACTATGTTGCAGATAATAAAAATGAAGAGTTTCTAGTTCCTGGTTCGAGTTGACAATCAATCGATACGATCAAATTACAAATTGGTCAAGGCTCATCAACAAAGTATAGGATGCTATGATTCAATGTGGAAGTGATGCACTCATAATGCATTATAGAAGTGAAATCAGTGCACTCTGTCATGTAAAGTCGTGAATGTAATATGCTTCGTATGTAAAACGTTTTCTATGAAAGTGCATCATGTATACATTGTAAATTCACTTGTTATTTGTTAGTTGTGAGTTTGTGGTATTATACTCCATTATTTTGGTGTGCACTTTTAGCTAAAAAACATTTACATCAGGGGCGGATCCAGGATCGAGAGATGGGGTGGGCTAAGCAGCAGTAATTTTTTTTTTACTATACATACCAAATTTAGCCCAGGGTTGTTATCGAACAAAGATTTTTTTGAATTATATACTCGAGTTCGAGCTTGATTTCGAATCTAATTTAATGAATTGAGTTTAACAAGTTTCGAACTCGAACACGGAGTAGGTTTTGAGTTTGAATAATTATTCACGCCGAGATCGAACATAGTGATGTTTCGATCCGAACACGAGCCTATCGTTCACATATAAATTATACTATTGTACATATCATAAAATTTAAACGTTTTAGTGCAATTTTTATAAATTTATTAATGATTAATAAAAATTTGAATACTCTAAACTTCTACATTCGAGCATGTCTATCGAACATTGAAATCCAAATTTAAGATAGTTTGGATTTCAGGGACTACAGCACGTGGAGGATCCTCATTGACTAGATCTTGCACTGTTGTAGGTATAGGTTCAGAACTCCCTTCACCAGTTTGACGATTCACTTTCGAAAAGAATGATGAAATCAACTTCTTTCCCTTCTTGGCAACATGTTCATTATCCATTCTAAAAAACATTTTCAATATTGGTATATATTAAAATACTTATATATAAAAAATAAAACTATTTAATTATGTACTGAAAAATTCAATCAATAATCAAAACGATTGTATGATTCCCTAGCCCTAAAACTCTAAAATGCTAATAATAATAATAATTAATACATTAATAGTTTAATACACAATCGGTTAATCACAATTTACAAATTCACGGCAGAAGTTCATAACTTCACTGATTCACAAATTAAAATTCACGAACTACACAAATTAAAATTCAACACCAACACCAAACTCAATCGGTCAAATTATACCAAATGGGCACAAATTACTTGGTAAAAGGGCAAGACCGCAAGAAGATTTACCTGGAGGAATGAAGGCTGGCTGCTGGACTGCCGTCTGCCGGAGTGTCGGTCGTTGAAGCCTGGAGGACTGGTCGAGAAAGCGAGAGGCCGAGAGAGGGAGGTTGGAGGCAGTCAGGTTGGTCGGAGCCAGAGGCGTTTGGCGTTCCGTTCGCTGCTTTAGTGCGGCGGCTGTTCTGTCGCCCTTCGCCCTTCGCCACTTCGCCCGTTTCGTTCGTTGTCTTCGTCCCTTCAGTGTTCAGAGAATCGGAGGTTCCGAGGTTAAGTTGCCGACTGCGTGTGGCCGTGTGCGTAACTGCGTAACGACGTATGGTTTAGTTGCCAATCTTTTTGTGGGCTGGGCTGGGCTGGAAATTATTTGTGGGGTGGGCTGACAAATAATTTAGGCTGGGCTGAGATTTGAAAATGTACCAATACTATTAAAAAAAAAAATTGGGCTGGGCTGAAGCCCACCCCTGGCCTAGCATACATCCGCCCCTGATTTACATGAAGATCTTAAATTATACTCATATAGAGTATCTTTCATTTTCGTTCAGTGCATTTCGAAGTTAGAAAATGTGCATTTCATTTTATAAAAAAATGCACATATATAAGAGTAGTTGCTAATAAACACTTACATATAAAGTGCATATTAATGACATACAAAATGCAAGTTAATGACATAAATAGCTCAGTGCATATTAATGTAACAAAAAGTGCACGATATACTACAATGAGATTATTCTATGACAACCAAGCTTAAACGCTGCACACATACATGTCACAAGTGCATAAGAATTCAATTATTGTGTATAATACTTTTTAAAAAATGCACACTATTCAGGTCCATGTAAAGATACCATAATGAAAGGTTGATTAATGCATTTTAAAATGAAAGCTAAGCATATTTTATAAGTAATTCAACACTATAGATAAAATTCTAGAAAGTAATACAGTATGATATTATAGAAAAATGAAAAGAAAGTAGTTGAAAAGTAACAGGGGCGGACCCAGGAAAGTCATTTTGGGGGGGCGAAAATATTTTTGGAGGGGTTCAAAATATTTTTTGGAAGAGCAAAAATCATTTTTCGTATATATATACACTAAAAAAAATTGTTGGGGGGGCGGTAACCCCCCTGGGTCTCTACTACGGTCCACCCCTGAAGTGTAAGAAGCTACGATGCTCACTGCTTATGCACTTATATGCTCATATTCATTGCACATCTATATACATTATGTTGCACTTTTAGGTGGATGCTGTTTTCTTCTCACTACAACATTTCAACCCCTAATGTATCACCTAAAAGTGTTACAATATCACTAAAAAGTGTTACATTAGGGAAAATGTAACACTTTTTTACCATTACATTTGCTCATGTTGCATTTGACCTATTGTAACACTTTATAGTACCTAATGTAACACTTATACTTCTAGAAAGTGTTACACTAGGTTTAAAAAGTGTTATATTAGAGAAATAAGTAACACTTTTATAGATATGTTACATCTTTAATGTTACGTTAGGTCTAAAAATGTAGTAGTGTCTATTGTTACGAGAAGCTGATATGTAATATATATTGAATAAATATTTTCTAAATTTTAAATAAAAAAGGTAAATGATTTTGTTGTGGCCAAGTGTTTGATTACATAAATGCCCTCTAATTAAATTATTAATTGGAATAGCAGTACGATCAATAAATGGTTTTCTTTTAAAGAGCTAGCAGTTGAGGTATGTGTGGCTCTATTATGGTCGTCCCATTGATTACATGGAGAGTCATATTTTGTTCTCATTTCTCTCCTAAGACTACTTTCTCACCGGAACCATTCCCTATATATATATGCATGTATGTATAGGAAAATTCTAAGGTCCAGCACCTCCCGGTCCGAACGCCGTCCGAACACCGCCGTTTGGGGCGGTTCCCGGTGGAATTTTTTTGATGAATTTTTTTAAGCATGTTCCTCATCAAGTCTAGTTTATCCATACCAAATTTCAGCTCAAAATTCGATCGTGAAGACAGTCAAATAATTCGTTGAAGTTAACTGCGTTTTCTATGTATAATTTGGCACGGTTATTATGAGTTGTCTGCGGAGTCTATAGAAGACCAAGAAGTTGGCCTCCACCTTCTTGAAGAGTGGCGATTAAAATTTAAAGAGCACCTTTCGAAAAATGCCTCCAAAGAAAATGCTAAAAAGCATGATAACGACCCATATGAGTCGTTAGAATTTGTTGAACCTAACCGACCATTCCAGCTCACTGGGTGGAAGGTTACCGTGTCCTATCGGAGGTCTCGGGTTCGAATCCCGCTATGCACATTTAGGGGAGAGGAGGGAGGTCTTGCTCCCAATGATTCTTCCTACCTTCACGGAGTTGCTCAGCGGCTGAGAAGGGAGAGGATGGTAATGAAGGTAGCGGGTTCGTGTGGTGGGAGGAGCAGACTGAAATGTGATGTAAGTCCTGCTGGATTCGTCCTTTGGAGTCAGTACTGACGAGGCTGACTGTGATCAGATCCGGACTTAACTGTCTAGGGGTTTTGGAGGGTAGTTCATAGACTCCAGGATTATGGGAGCCTAAGTCCCGACACCTGGATTATAAAAAAAAAACAAAAAAAAAAAAGAATTTGTTGAACCTGATCATGCAAGACATAAAGGTTGCGGAAAACGACTCAAATCGTCAATGGAAAAGACGCCATCACTCAATAGAGCATGTCGTATTTGTAAAGGACATGGTCATGATAAACGCAATTGTCCGAAGTTGGGGACTGGGTATGAGTCAAATAAATCATTTTGATGTGTTTTAAATGAAATAATAGAATGTTTGTATTTACAGGAAGTGTAGAGCTGCAGAAGGTCTTAACAAAGTTCAAAGTTCTTGAGGAAAATCTCCCAAGATGGACGGTTTTCACCCAATTGTTTTTCCTCTATTTTGTTAACATTTCTGTTTTGTGTGGGACATCCATGTAATTTTAATATCTTTTTATTTTTGTTTTTGTTTGCTATTGCTTATTGATTGAGTTCTCAAGCAATGTACTGTATCTTTTTGAAGGTGTACAACTACCTTATGTGAGTTTGTGATGATGAAATTATGGTTCACATGTACTGTATCATTAGAGGTTTTTAAGCAGGGGCGGACCGTAGTAGAGACCCGGGGGCTACCCCCAACAAATTTTTTTTAGTGTATATATATACGAAAAATGATTTTTGCTCTTCCAAAAAGTATTTTGAACCCCCTCAAAAATATTTTCACCCCCCAAAATGACTTTCCTGGGTCCGCACTTGTGCATAAGTCAATTTTTTTTTGAGAGTCAAAAGCCTATTGTTAGTTGAATTTGTTTATTCGCAAAACACAATCATTATACTAATCAACACCTTACAACTGCTACTCCATATTTTCTAATCAACACCTAATTGTTTATTCAAATTTAAATGAGAAGATAGAGGAGAACATTTGAGATCCACTAATGGATGAACCTGGTCTCTAAGGCCTTGTTTGGTTCAAAGGAGGGGAGGGAAGGGGAGAGTCAAGGAGGGAAGGGAAGGGGAAGGAAGGATTTTGATAAAAAATTGTGTTTGGTTGGAGGAAATAGGAGGAAATTAAAGGTTTAATGAAAATATTTTCGCAATTTACTTTTATTTGATAGCTTACTTAAAAAAATAGATACATATCTAACTATTGTGAATATTACTCCTATGGTCATGAGTCATAATTTTATTTTATTTGATTTTTTTCTCTTTTAATTTTATAATTTTTCATTTTTCAGTTAAGAATTTTTAATTTTATATTTTTATTTTTTAAATTATTTTATTTTAAATTTTTAAATTTTTAATTTATAATTTTTAAATTTTACAATTTTTAAATTTTTTAAAATTTTTAATCTTTAAATTTTTAAATTTTTAAATTTTTAAATTTTCAAAACTTTTTATTTTTACCTTTTTATATTATAATGTTTTGTTCATTCACGTAGGAGATGAATAGTTTGGGGGTTTAGAATGGAAGGAAGTGGAGGATTTTGAAAACTTTCCACTTTTCTCCCCTTCCCCCTATTTCCTTCAACCAAACACACACAAATCTCTCACTTTCCTCCCCCTCCGAAACCCTCCAACCAAACAGGACCTAAATGACATGATTGCTATCAAAGAAGTTAAAGTTTATCACAACATAGTTTGCCTCTTTTTACATGGTTTTTCAATATACTCCCTCCGTCCCATATTTATCTCCTGAAGTACAAATGACACACAGATTAAGATAGTGGGAAATGTGTGGTGGAGAGTTGTGTAGATGAAAGAGAAATGTGTAAGAATGTGTAAGAATGGTTGTGAACCACAAATTCTTTGCTAAAAAGAGAAAGATGAGATAAATTTGGGATAGATCGAAAAGGAAAGTATTAAATAAATGCGAGACGCGCGGAGTAACAAACAACCAAACTTTCTATGAATGTCAGGTAATTTGATAGTGCCTTCCATCCCAGTCTTTCCTCACCTTGAGGTCTTGTTTGGTTCAAATAAGGGGAGGGAAGGGGAGAGTCAAGGAGGGAAGGGAATGGAAGGGGAAGGAATGATTTTGATAAAAATTTGTGTTTGGTTGGAGGAAATAGGAGGAAAGGTTTAATGAAAATATTTTTGCAATTTACTTTTATTTGATAGCTTACTTAAACAAATAGATACATGTCTAACTATTGTGAATATTACTCCTATGGTCATGAGTCGTAACTTTAATTTATTTGATTTTTTACTTTTTTAATTTTATAATTTTTCATTTTTCAATTTGGAATTTTTGATTTTTTATTTTTGTTTTTTAATTTTTTTAATTTTTAAAATTTTTAATTTATAATTTTTAAATTTTTAAATTTTTAAAATTTTTAATTTAATTTTTTTTTAATCTTTAAATTTTTTATTTTTTTATTTTTTTATTTTTTCAAAACTTTTTGTGTTTTTACCTTTTTATATTATAACATTTTGTTCATTCACGTAGGAGATGAATAGTTTGTTGTTATCAGCACGTTTCCTCCGAAATACCCCGATTTGGGGGGTTTAGAATGGGAGGAAGTGGAGTATTTTGAAAGTCTTCCACTTTCCTCTCCTTCCCTCCTCTTTCTTTCGACCAAACACACAAGAATCCTTCACTTTCCTCCCCTCCCCTCCAAAACCCTCCAACCAAACAGAGCCTAAAAGACCAGGTTGAATTTGAACGCCGCCTGCAAACTTTTTTCGGTTTTGAAGCGTGAGTTTTTAAGAAACAAACTGTAAAAAGAATTAGCAATCAAAAGAAATATATGAAGAAATCAGTTTTCTTCTACTACTACTACTACCACTACTACTAC